TACATACATACATACATACATACATACATACATACATACATACATACACATACATACATACATACACATACATACATAAACATATAAATACCACATATACAAAAACAGGGGAACGAAACAAAACATACAGAGGCTAATTTTTTAGTTTCTGCAGCATCCATTTTCGCTTGTTGGACTCGTAAACGCATCGAATTGAGCCTCATTTGCTTTTGCTGCTGTTGCTGCTCATTTTCCTGAAACACTTCATTAGTATATTTTATGTACGACAAACAAATGATGTACTCAATTTTTTACGCATTCCTCATCGCACAAGTCAAAAAAAGAATGCAAAATATAGAAAGTTCTTCCCTGGAAGAATGAAGAAAGAAAATACACAAAAAAAAAAGATACAAAAGTAGTGCGTTTGAGCGATAAGATGAAGCAATAACTGATAAAAGTTTCTAAAAAAAAAGAAATCAACATAGAGAAGAATGGAGAAGTTGCCAGCTGTATTAATGGTGAGGACCACAATAAATAACAACAGTAGCTGATCAAAGCAAGTTTTCTATGCTGCTAAGTTTCCTCTGACACCGTACTGCTAAGCTATGTGTATCACTACAAATCGCACTGAAATGTTGAGGAAATGAATTTGCCTAGGACTGCTGAACCTCAGTCTACGGATCTCTTAAAATCTTAAAATCTCTCCCTCCCCCCTCTCCCGTCCTGCTTTGCTTCCCTCTTCCCTGCCCCAATTAAAACTACTCAAAAAGATGAAGTACTAGAGAACCGGGCATAAACACATTAATATGTGTTAATATGTAAAATTAAAACAAACCTCTAGTTGCTGGGGCCGTAAATATTCCTCGTACAAATCGTCATAGATGTTTTTTGGTTCCGGTATTTCGGTGGTTGTCAAGATGAACGCATTCAGTGCATTCACGACTGCCTGGATTTGGAGACGAATCGGCTCGATTCGATCATCGAAACGTTCCGCATCTGATGAATTCAGCTCACCACGCAAATTCATGATCTGATGCAACCCACCGAGAAGCTGATCGATTTTCTGCGATGCTTCACGTTTACAGGATACCGAAGCCACCGAATCATTTTGTGTATTCTTCTGCAAATAA